CTGGAGAGCAGCATGTCACGTCAGATTAGCTTCTTCCCCGTATCAGGAGGGTGGGAAGCTTGCTGGGTTCAACACGCTGTGAGGCCGAACTCAGGAACGTCCTTTTGTGGCTGTAATCATAAATCCATAGCAACTGTACCAGCAGCGCCATCAGTGTCGGAAACAGGTTTCAAGACAAGATCAGGGCGGTGGCAGAACACACGCCACCACCCGTTTCATGGCCTCCACGGCTCCTTTTCCCCTCACAGGACCCCAGCAGTGCCCTTCAGAGGCCCGGTGATCGGGCCGATTCAGGCAAGAGCCGTCCGCCGGGTCACTTCCAGGACGTATATTCACTTCCGGGTCAGCCATGTCAGCCTCAGGAACTGTCGCACCCTTCTGTGACCAATTACGTGGTAGCAGCCACTGAATTCTGTAGCAACTGAATAAGCTGAATAGACCAACTCAGTTCACCTCTCTTGTCTTATACGTGACAATATTTTTTTTAAACATCAATCAGGCTTCTGTGTTTGGACTTCCTGTTACTGTCAGGCAGGTGGGCTCCATACGATGAGTGGGGACTGGTTTCCAAGCAGGATACAGGCATACCTCAGAGATGTTGTGCTTTGGGTTCCAGACCCCTGCCATAAAGCAAATACTGTAATAAAGGGAATCAGACAAATCTTTTGGTTTCCCCGTACATATACACTGTTAAGTGTGCAATTGCATTGTGCCTTAAAAAGGTACATACCTTAATTAAAAAATGTTTTTTTTTTCTTACACATCTGAGCCTTCAGCAAATTGGTGTGTGTGTGTGTGTGTGTGTGATTTGCTGCTGGAGGGTCTTACCTCAGTGTTGCTGGCTGCTGACTGATCAGGGTAGTGGCTGCTGAAGGTGAAGGTAGGAGTGGATATGGACATTTCTTTAAGATTTATTTATTTATTTGAAATCAGAGTTAGAGAAAGGGAGAGACAGAGAGGTCTTCCATCTGTTGGTTCACACCCCAAAACGACCAAAACAGCCAGCGCTGGGCCAAGCTGAAGCTAGCAGCCAAGCGCTTCATCCAGGTCTCCCAAATGGGTAAGGCCATCTGCCCAAGGATGTGGGGCTGTCTTCTGCACTTCCCTAGGCACATTAGTGGGGAGTTGGATCGGAAGTGAATTGGCACCTGCTATGCCACAACACTGGCGCTGAAATGTCTAAAAACAATACAATAGTGAAGTTTACCACCTCAACTAATTCTTCCTTTCAGAACAGATTCCTCTGTTTGCCATTTGGTAGTGTATTACCCACAGAACTACTTTCAAAATTGGGGTCCATCCCCCTCAAACCTTGCTGCTGCTTCAAGTAAGCCTATGTGTCAATCCTTTGTCATTAATTCCACAGTGTTCAGAGTGTCTTCACCCAGAACAGGTTCTATCTCCAGAAACCACTTGGTTTGCTCATCCAACTCTTGATCTGTCGAGGTTTTATCATGAGATCACAGTGCTTCAGTCACAGCACCAGGCTCCAAGGCGCCACTTCGAATTCTTGCCATTCCACTCTTGCCATTTCCACCGCCTCTGCAGCAACTTCCTCCACTGAAGTCTAGAACCCCTCAAAGTCTTCCATGAGGGTTTCAGTCAGCTTCTTCCAAATTCCTGTTAATGTTGATCCTTTGATTTCCTTCCATGAATTATGAAAGTTCTTAATGGCATATAGAATGGTAAAAATCCTCTCCAGAGAGTTTCAATTAACTTTCAACATGTTCAGCAAAAGAATCACTTGTTTATGGCAACTATCACCATACAAAATGTGTTTCTTAATAAGATTTGAGGGGTAGGTGTTGTGGCACAAAGAGTCTGCCACTTGGGACACCCATGTCACCTGTCTGAGCACCTGAGATCAAGTCCTGCCTCCCCTTTTGATGCAGCTTCCTGCTAATGTGCCTGAGAAGCAGCAAATGATGGCCTGAGTACTTGGGTTGCTGCCACCCAGGTGGGGAGACCAGATTTCATTCCTGGCTCCTGGTTTCAGCCTGGCCCTGCCCTGGTTGTTGTGAGCATTTGGGGAGTAAACCAGCAGATAGAATCTCTCCTCTCCTCTCCTCTCCCTTCCCCTCCCTACTGCTTTCTTTCCCTCTCCTATCTCTCAAATAAATAAGTAAATAAAGCTTCTAAAAAAACTGTTATTAGAAATAATAAGACTTGAAAGCCAAAATTACTGCTTGATCCTTGGACAACAGAATGGATGTTGTGTTAGCAGGCCTGAAAACAATATTAATCTTCTATATTTTTGTCAAAGCTCTTGGGTGACCAGAACATTGTCAGTGAGCAGTAATATATTGAAAAGAATCTTTTTTTTTTCTTCTGAGCAGTGGTTTCAATAGCAGGCTTCAAATACTGAGTTATAAACATGTGGTATCATCTAGACTTGATGATTCTACCTGGAGAGCACAGGCAGAGTAGATTTTAAGTAATAGTCTTCAGGATTTCTAGGTGATAAACAGACATTGGCTTCAACTCAAAGTCACCAGCTGCAATCACTCCTAATAAGAGTGAGCTGTCTGTCCTTTGGAGCTTTGTAGGAAGCATTGACCTCTCCAGCTATGAAAGTCCTAGGCTGTACTGACTTCTGACAGAGAAGGCTTTTCTGTCAACAATGAAAACCTGTTGTTTGGTGTAGCCACCTGCACCAATAGTCTTCTGCACACTTGCTCAGCTTCTGCATCAACACTTGCTGTCTCACCTGGCACTTTGATGGGGACCATTTCTCTCCTTAAAACTCATCAAACACCCTCTGCTAGCTTCAAAGTTTTCCTCTTCTCTGCCCCTCTCAGGCTCACAGACTTGAAGGGGGTTGGGGTCTTACTTTGGATCAGATGCTGGCTTACAGGAATGTTGGGGCTGATTTGATCTCCTATCCAGGCCACTAAAACTTTCTCCATATCAGCCATCAGGCCCTTGCTCTTTCTTATCATTCGTGTGCTCACTGGAGTAGCACTTTTAACTTCCTTCAAGAACTTTTTCCTCGTGCTCAGAACTTGGCTATTTGGTGCACCAGGCCTAACTATCAGTGTATCTCAGCTTTCCGCATGCCTTCCTCATTAAGTTTAATCATTTCCAGCTTTTGACTTAAAGTCAGAGACATGCAACTCTTCCTTGCCCTTGAACACTTAGAGGCCTCTGTAGGGTTATTGGTTCACTTACTTCAATGGGGTTGTCTCAGGGAATAGAAAAACCAAAGAGAGAAGGGAAGGGCCAGTTGGTGCAATCAGTGCAGCCTCCCCTGGGTCTACATTAGCTGGCATGGAACCAGTGGGACTCAGGTGTCCTAACTGACATCTTAAATGCTAAGCTAAACACCCATGCTTTATCGCTTTGTATCTTGAAGTCTTGTGAGTCATTCAATAGACTTTTCAACAAAGAGTGGGTGGCAGCCTGCCTATACATTTCTGGTTTACTTCTACAATAGAGAACTCCACTGTGGTTGGAATAAGTTCAGATCCAAGGGGTCTTCTCTTGCTTGCTGCCTCTCTTGGTGTACTTGTGAGCCAAAGGACAAAGTGAACGCTGTGGGCTAGGGTTTGTGAGAATTAAAAAGAGGTCTTGATGCAGATGCATCCATGCATCCATGGTAAGACTGCAACACCTTCTCACTGTAAGGGATCTTTCAGTTGCCATCTGAATTCTCCTAGGTGATCTCGGTTTCTCTGTACTCTTTAAATTCTTGAGAGAGATTTGCCTCAAAGATACCCTTCAGCACTCTTCAGAGGATAGAAGTGCATTTTCATAAGTGCTTGATGTGGCATAAAGTGTTGGAAGAAAGAAACTGTCCAGAGCGATTACTTATGCAGTATGGAATTGTTATCCCACTGGAGATTCTTTTTATTTCAATGCCCTTATCTACTGATTTGACTTTTTTATAGTGTACTGCTTTTTACCATGTATTACTTTTATATTACAAAATTGGGGGTTCAGGGTCGATGCTGTGACATAGTAGGTTAAGCCTCCACCTATGGCACCAGCATCCCACGTGGGCGGTGATTCATGTCCCAGTTGCTCCTCTTCCAATCCAGCTTTCTGCTAATGGCCTGAGAAAGCAGTGGAGGATGGCCCAAGTGCTTGGGCTCCTGTACCTGCATGGGAGGCCCGGAAGAAGCTCCTGGCTTCTGGCTTCAGATAAGTACAGCTCCAGCTGTTGTGGCCATTTGGGGAGTGAATCAGCGGATGGAAGACCTCTGTCTCTGTCTCTGTAACTCTGCCTCTCAAACAAATCTTTTTAAGAATGGGGGTTCTCATTTTATATAATATGAAGAATAATGTTTTTAATTTTTAATTTATTTGTAAGGGAGAGATATTGATTGATTGATTGATTGATCTGTGACAGGTGGGGATGAACCAGGCCTAAGTCAGGATCCTGGAACTCAATCTGAGTCTTCTGGGTCTTCTGTGTGGTCGGCAGGGACACAACCACTTGAACACCTGCTGCCACCCTGGGTATGCACCAGCAGGAAGCAGGAACTGAATGCAAGGCAGGACTCAGATCCAGGAACTCTGCTATGGGATGTGAGCACCCCAGGCAGTGTCTTAACTACTGTGCCAAATGCCCACCCCTAAGAATAATATCTTTTAAAACAAAGATACACATGATAGAGTTCTCCCAAATTATGCTCATACAAATCACCCTTGCTGATTTTGCCATAGTGATATATATATATCTGCCTTTAAAGTATTTGTATGATGCCTGATTTACCTTTCTAACCTCAAAACAGCATCAAAATTCCACAGAAGTTTGTACTTCTTCTGTAAAACAGCAGTTTTGTAGTTCTCCTTCTCCTTCATTGGTATTTTCCATCAAAGCCCTGGTCTTGCTCCCATGTTATGAGCATGTCTCAGTATCTGCAATGCTGTACTCCTTGTGAAGAATGACTCCTCATCTCAGCTGCTTAGAAATACACAGGGAAATGGGCCTTGGGTTCCTGGAGTATTCAGCGTTCTTGAGAGCTCATTGATGTGAATGTGTTTTCCACTCCTTACAGAGCTTTGGAGGGCCTGGATGGAAGCCATGCGGCTCAGGAGTGCCGGGACATTGCACTGCCTGGTGGGGATCCCCAGTCCCTTCTCACCGCCAGCCATGCACCTGGTCCTTTGCCCGCAGAATCTAGAACACTGAAAAAGGTAATGCTTCACTTCTAGTATTTGCCTCCCAAGAATAAACATTGCTAAACATTTAAATACTGCAAAATCACCCCTATCTGACTGAAAAACTCGTGCTTGATGGGCACAACATATATTGTGAGAGGTCTTCGGAAAGTTCATGGAAAAGTGTGTTATGAAAAAAAAGTTTGCATGGATTTTAAAAAATTTTGGTACCAAAATAGACATCTTTTAACTCCATTCTCCATGAACTTTTCAAAATAGCATTTATAACATATCACATATGATATATGTAGTATACATATATGTTGTACAATATTATTATATTTGATAATACAATAGTTTGTTTAAATATAAGTATTACAGAATATATAATGCATATTGCATGCCGTCTCTAACATTATGCATGACAGCAGCGTATTATTAATAATGAGTCTCTGTGTGAACTTGACTCTGCTGCCTCAGGTGTTCTTCATTGTATAGCTGCCCTTTTCTGCCTTGTTCTTGTTACACAAGCTGTGATTTAACACAACGGTGCACAAAGTAATATGGCATCAACTTTGGGACTAGTGTTTCCCATAAAAAGCACACCTACTTCTTGCTACTATAAAGCACTTAGTGCTAGTATCTCATCAGGAGTACTTTCTTTTTCTTTAATAATTTATTTATTTGAAAGGCAGAGTTAGAGAAAGATCTTCCATCTGCTGGTCTACTCCCCAAATGGCCACAAGAGCTGGGGCTGGGCCAGGCTGAAGCTAAGGGTCTGGAACGCCATCCGGGTCTCCAATGTGGGTCACAGGGACAGAATTACTCTGGTCATCTTCCGTTCATTTCCCAGGCACATTAGCAGGGAACTGGATTGCAAGTGGAGGAGCAGGTCTCAAACAGGCACCCATATCTGGCTGCCTCCCCCTTCCTCTCTCCTCCTCTGCTGGCCCCCTCTCCTTCCCCTCCTCCCTCCTCCCTCCTCCCTCCTCCTTCTTCCCTCCTCCTTCTTCACCTCCCACTTTCTCACTCTTGCAGTCTTTCTCGGTCTTTGCATGTTATACCAAGAGTACAGGGAAGAGGCAGAGCAGCAGCCTTTCTCTCCCCAACCAGAGGGTTTTACACCTTATGTCTCATGAGTCATGGCCAAGAGGGCCAACTGGACCATTAGTTCCGAAGTGCAAGACCCCACACATGGGGCCAGCGCTGTGGCGTAGAGGGTAAAGCTGCTGCCTGCAGTGTTGGCATCCCATATGGGTGCCGCTCCACTTCTGATCCAGCTCCCTGATAATGCACCTGGGAAAGCAGTGGAAGATGGCCCCTGCACCCATGTGGGAGGCCTGGAAGAAACTCCTGGCTCCTGGGTTCAGATCTGCCCAGCTATGGCCCAGCTTTGATCTTTGTGGCCATTTGGGGAATGAACCAACAGGTAGAAGATTCGCATTCATTCATATTCTCTCTCTCTCTCTACTCTCTCTCGTTCGCTCACTCTCTCTCTCTCTGCCACACATGCCACCACTGTGGCCAGGATTCTTGGTAAACAAATTTTAAGTGTACTGAGATCCTGGGTGGTGCATACTCACAGTGAGTGTCCGGGCACCTCTGAGACCTTCCAAATTACTCTTCTCTCAGTCTGCTCTCCCCAGTGGGAGAGCATGAGATCCAGTAGGTTTACTGAAGCGACAATGCAAGGACCACCCTGGACCTTCTCTCCTGGACAGATGGCCTCCCATTCCTGAGTATATCTAGCCCTCAAAATTGGATCTACTTTTTCAAACTAGGATTTATTTTTTTATTTGCATTAACTCTAAGCAATTTCTATTTCCCAAAAGCAGAATTTTTATCCACTCTCTATATGTGTTTTGTATACTCAGTGTTATTGTTTTTATTTATTTCTTGCCTTTTTTAAGATTTATTTATTTATTTGAAAGAGTTACACAGAGAGAGAAGGAGAGGCAGAGGTAGAGGTCTTCCATCTGCTGGTTCACTCCACAATTGGCTGCAATGGTCAGAGCTGAGCCAATCTGAAGCCAGGAGCCAGGAGCTTCTTCCAAATCTCCAATGTGGGTGCAGGGTCCCAAGGACTTGGGCCATCGTCTACTGCTTTCCCGGGCGACAGCAGAGAGCTGGATCAGAAGTGGAGCAGATGCCCATATGGGATGCTGGCACTGCAGGAGGTGGCTTTACCCACTATGCCATAGCACCGGCCCCTACTTATTTATTGCTTTTAATGTGCTATAACAATATTACTTCAACCTGACAACACTATGCTGAATCCTTCAATTAAAATAAAAAGACATTTGCTGTACCTGCTAGTATACGCAGATACATGATTTATAATTACAAAGACAATACTATGTCTCCACATACCAGCTAGGGGGAAGTGGAACCACAAATCAGAATGTTACTAGAATCTAAATGTTGGATGGGAAAAAGCACCAGGAATCATTCATTTATTTATACAAAACAAATTTTCCATTGAGTGGCTATGTTAAACTTTTAGTTAATTTTAGAACAGAAGACATTTTATTTAAAACATCACTGTTTCTGGGATAGACAATGTGTCACAGAGGGTTAAGCTGCCACTTGAGACATCTCCATCCCATATGAGAGTGCCTGGTAGGCAGTCCTGCCTCTGTTTCCCATCGAGTTTCCTGCTGCTGTGCACCCCGGGAGGGAGAAGGTGATGGCACAGGGAATTAGGTCTCTGCTGTCCATGTGGGAGACCTGGGTGGAGTTCTGGGCTTCTGGCTTTGGCCTGGCACAGCCCTGACTGTTGTGGGCATTTGGGGCCTCCCCTGTCCCAAATCTCTGATTTTTAGTCAGATCTTGACATAATTTCACCCCACCCCACCTGGGCACCTGTCTCTTACGCACATGGGTGGGCCTGGTACCCAGCTTCAATTTCTTGAGCACTTGGGTGCCTCCCACCCGTATGGGAGACTCTGAGTTTTGGGCTTCTGGCCTTAACCTGGCCCAGCCCTGGATGTTGCAGGCATCTGGGGGGTGAACCGGCCCATACATCTCTGCAAAGAGGGCAGATACTTTAATGAGAATTTTCCTGTAATGATATTTTAATTCTCCTTAAATTCTGATAGCTTATTTTGAAAATGCTGAAGATTGTATATGACCATCGTGAATATAAATGAAATTGCCATATTTTCAGGTCTTCTCAAGATGCATTCAAACAAGTGAAATGCACAGCAGCTATTTGAGTAACTCAAGTAAAAAAGCTATTTTGGCTTTAATTCTTTGGATCTTTTCCTTATTGGTGAGCCAGATAAAGCCACTATTTCCTAACAAAGTATGTGTGTGTGTGTGTGTGTGTCTGTTTCTTTTTAAGAAGAAAAACAAACCCACCTCCCCTACAAAGTAAATGAATGAATGAATGAATAAACCCCACAGAAGTAACTGACCTATAGAGGAGATGAAATCATATCAACTCAGTGCTACTCTCACTGTTTAAGACCGGGATGCACCCACATCATCCATAATAGACAGGTGTCTGCTTTGCTCTGAAGTGGCTCAGAGAGGGCTCCGCTGCAGCCACCTTTGGCAGCTTTTTCTTTTCTTAATTAACCTTAAAGCAGTCAAGATGTTGTGTCTCTCAGTTTCTAGCCTGATGTTCTACATGACTCTATAACACTTCAGTTCAACAAGCCTTGGCACAAACGTGCATTCTCCACGTGACTCATAGAGGCAACCCACCCCTCTGTGTCATTTCCCTTCCCACTTCTCTATTTCTCCTCTCTCCCTGTAGCTGTTCCACACTAATCCACTGGCTTGTCTGAATGTCAAATCCTCCCCACCCTCACCTCATTCCTTAGGCCAACCCAAGTTCAAAGTATAAAGTACTTAAGCCTAGGACACAGTATATGAACCTTGATCACAGAACTCCCACTCTGTCTGAGCCACCTAGGCTGCTGACCTCCCCAGGGATGGTGCTTGCATCATCCTGCAACACGTGGGACCTCCCCATACCCTGATGTCCATCCTACTGCTGCAGCCTTGGGAGTGGAGCTCTTACTAACTAGGTTTCCACCTTCCCCCAAGGTGGCTTCCATAAAGAATTTAGGAATATCGTCCATGTAACACTCAGCACTACAGTCCACCTTTCCACTGGAACTCCAGTTTGAATTATCTGTGCCATCCTGTGTTGTGACCAAAGATGACTGAGCCCTTGGGCCTCCCCTGTCCCAAATCTCTGATTTTTAGTCAGATCTTGACATAATTTCACCCCACCAACCTGGGCACCTGTCTTATGCACACAGGCAGGCCTGGTATCCAGCTTCAGTTTCTTAGTCCTCTCTATAGCTTCTGCATGGCAGGAGTCTATGTGCTCTGAAAATACGGCTCAAAAAGACTGAACACACTGCTGGGGGAAAAGGCAAGATAGAGAATAATGTGTATAGCATATTTTGTAGATAGATAAATCAATAGATTGATTTAAAAGGCAAAGTTAGAGAGAGAGAGAGAGATCTTCCATCTGCTGGTTCACTCACCAAATGTTCATGACAGGACCCGGGAGCTCCATCTGGGTCTCCCACATGGGTAGTAGTGGCCTAAGTACTTGGGCCATCTTCTGCGCCTTCTCAGAGGCGTTATTAGGCAGCTGGATTGGATGGAGCAGATAGGACTTGATCCAGCACTCATGTGGGATGCCAGTGTCACAAATAGTGACTTAACCCATGTGCCACAATGCCAGCCCCATGGCATGTTATATTTTGTGTAGAAAAGTGGGCAAATAGAATATATGTTTCTGTAGTATGTGTGTATGTGTATGTATTGGTAGATGCATTAAGAAACTATGGAAGTATACATTAAAAGCTAATAATAATTACCTGTAGAACATATACATTTTTGTTGCACAGTTTTTAATGTTTTTATTTCTGAGCTCTGTGCAAGTATTCCTTATTCAAAAACATTTTTTAAAGATTTATTTATTGGGCCGGCACGGTGGCGCACTAGGTTAATCCTCTGCCTGCGGCGCCGGCATCCCATATGGGCGCCAGGTTCTAGTCCAGGTTACTCTTCTT